TACCGCATCCCGTCCGATCTGCGAAGTCAAGCACGGTATCGCCTAGTCAGTACTGCGGTGGGGGACCACGCGGGAATCCTGGGTGCTGCAGTTCTTTTCATTATTTTTTGCCCTTCAAGCATATCACTTAATTCATTCTTTTTCAATGGTGAGAAGTTCTATTGAAAAGATGCCATCCATGATAGTGATGATGATGATGGTCTTAAGCCATTCACGCGTTAAAGACAGAAGAAGGGATGACAGTCTTAAAGCGCTAAACGTTTAACGCGAATGCACGGTTATAAGTATAACTAGAATACAGTATAAGTATTAATTGAACTTATTGTCGCGTGGAGCCTGGGGTAAAAATATACACCTAGCATGCAATACTTCCCATCAATGTGATTAACACTTTTTACTCTTCCTTCTCCTCACACCAAATGCTGATCGCGTATCACAAGCAATGTCAACAATGATGACGGCATCCACTATGCCGTCAAATGGATTGTACGATGCTCGTGCTACGATTATCATTATTGGAATGAAAGGGGCAGGAAAGACGACGATCGGTTTGATGGCAAATAGATCGATGGGTCGTACATTTATCGATATGGATTATAGATTCAGAATAAGCGAGGACACATCCGTTGAAGCATACGTTGCTGCACATGGATGGAACGCTTTCAGAGCAAGAGAAACTGTTCTTCTCAAAGAATTACTCGTTCAACATCCGTTTGATGCAGTAATCGCTTGTGGTGGTGGAATCATTGAATCAAGCGAATCAAGAAGAGTTTTGAAATCAGTCTTGCATACTATGCCGGTCATTCGTGTCCTACGTGAAGAAAGCGCTGTTCGACAATACATTGATGGAAGATGGCTCAGACAATACGATGAAGATTTGGGTGCAATGATGAGAAGAAGGACTTTGTTGTACCGGGATTGTTGCTCGCATACATTCTACAATCTCTCATGCGGCTTAGATGCGTCTTCAAGGGAGCCATCACGCAGTACAGATCGAGTAAATTTCTTCTCAGCATCTTCCAATACAACAGATCCTCTCAAATTCAAGCAAGTTGGCAATTCGTTCGAACGACTTTTACGTGCGATTCTCGGTGATTCCTTCAAAAGTGCAAATCAATCGCAAAATTTTGCAGATCCAGAATTAGGCGCAAATAGCATCGCAAGGCCTTCACGTCAATCATCTGCTCCTTTGGACTTGCCAGGATCACCTATTAGCGGTCAAAATACTCCACCGGTGTTTCGAAATAGTCTTTCAAACTTACTCGCCCCTCATGGACCTGGTCCAGGGCCACTACATGAGACAGCATTCAATGAGCACAGGCTATCGTCACCTTTGCATAATGGGTCCAAGATGCAGTCAAAGCAAGCAATGAGCAAAAGCAGTAGTGGAAAGAATGGAACATCATCAACAAGAAGGAAAGGCATTGCAGTTTTGCCAGGTCGTGCCAATGTGTTAGAGCGGTCAAGTCTTTTGACCAGGCGGACAACAGCCATGTCATTAACATTTGCCGACTTAACGAGTATAAGCGCAGACATGTTACGAAATATCACACAAGGTGTAGATGCGCTAGAATTGCGTGTGGACATGTTGGATTGTTTGAGGCCGGCCACTGCCACTGCACGTTCGCTAGATATCGAAGCAGAGCCAAAGATTGATTTTGAAGAAGTGGCAAGACAACTTGAAACTTTGCGAAAGATGACGCCTGATATTCCAATCTTGTTTACCGTTCGTTCGGATCGAGAAGGAGGCTTCTTTCATGATGACAGGAAGCTATCTCAACGTGATACGCGCTCGCCCCACTCGCAGGCAATATACTTCCAGTTGCTGCAATTGGCTATCGGGATGGGCATAGAGATGCTTGACGTCGAATTAGGTTGGGATCCTTGGATGACGAAGAAGCTGGTCGAATCACGCGGACGGACAAAGATTGTTCCGAGTTACCACGATCTCATGGGTGCACTGAAGTGGGATTCAAACGTAGCCCGTCAATTATACGATCGGGCTTGCTCATTTGGAAATGGTGTGCACGTAGTCATGATGATCGGCACAACAACACGATCAAATATCGAGCAAAATCAACACATTGGCTCTTTCTCCGCTCGAATTCTCTCTGCTGCCGGTGCCGATCCGTCGGGACGGATGCCACCGCTTATGGCTCTCAATATGGGCATGGCAGGTCGTTCATCTAGACCATTCAATGATGTATTGAACTTTGTCAGTCATCCTGCCATGCCGATGAAAGCTGGTAAAGGTCAATTGTCTCTCAAAGAGATGATGGAAACATTGGTCAGATTGAGTATGATCCGTACTTCTCACTTTCATCTTTACGGTGCAGTTCATGAAGCAGCTCAATTGGTCAAAGAGGCAATCAGTGCAGCATTTGATGAATTCGGTTTGCCATTCCAATTGCTGGAAGAGGGTACCTGGAGTTTAGCTGAATACATCGAAGCTCACCAAAATGACGATATGGGCGATCGGCAAGAAGAAGAAAATACAATGGTCAATTCGATGAGCGATGGTCTTTATATTGCCGATCACGCACATCGACAAACGGAGCTATTCGAAATCATGTCAAGAAGATGTCCTGAGCGTATCTCTAAAATTGGTAGGATCGTACAGGCAGTTGATGTGATGGCAAGACAAGACATTGGATTGCTTATGCTTGGTACGGAAAGAGGCAGACGAGTGCCAAACGCATTGGGTGAAATGCGTGGCCCTTTGGTGGGTTGTCATACATTACCTGCTGCGATCGAACGTACTTTGCTAGCACACTTGGCGCCGATCAATGTACCGAATGCTCATAGAAGTGGATTGATTGTCATCTTGAATGATGAAGAGGAGCCAAATGAGAAAGGAGATACGGAGATGGGCGAAAATGCGGAAAAGTATCAAGCAACTACCAATATCGCCAAACGTGCAGCTTTGCATGCCCTTTGCCAGATGGGATTGGGAACGGTGTATGTGTTGGAACAAAGTGATTCTCATCATGGGAACTTGTCCGATGATCCGCCTTACAGTCGAAGACAAAGTCTTGCTCCCGGAGCCTCCAGAGATTCAAGTGCACCACCCCATCCAACTTCATCCAAAGCATGGGCACAGGAGGTACTGCGTTTGAATTATAGCCATGAATCCCAAAGTGGCACTACTGCTGAAGCAAATAATGATCTCCGTGTAGTGGTGCGAGATATCAGCCTGGCAAGTCTTGCCCATTCTCCGACTAGAAGCGGGCATGAAACACCAGAGAATGGTACGGGAAAAAGGACGAGAATGGATATGTTATCCGATTTACAACACGGCCATGAAGATGAAGATGCTGAAACGATGGCTGCGATTTATGATTTTGAAAGACATCCGTCCAAGAGGCCATGTGCGATTGTGGTGGTAGGAGGAAGTGAAGAAAGACAACGTGAATGTTTGAGCACATTGCCGAAAAGTTCTACTACCGCGCAAGCAAACGAAGAGGATCATTTGCGAATCGTGCAATACAACAAGAAACATTTCATCCTTCCACGCGAATTATGGCAATCATCTTTTGGAGGTACGATTGTACGTATCCCATCCAAGAGATCGGACATCATTGGAAGTAGACGAAAAGTCGAAGTTGATGCACCAAAAGTGAGCGGCAATATACATTTCCAAGATGATCAAACGGCTACGCTACATAATGGCTGGATCAACGTAGAACCTTGGGTGATCGAAAGGGATCGTGTACAGAAAAATGTGATCGAAGCTTGGACTAGAAGAAGTGCGCCAAGTCATTATTTATGTGGTATATGGGATTCCTCTAAAGGGTGAACGAGAAGCAAAAAAGCTTTGTAGAATAATAATGTTTACTATGTAATTGTGTGTGTGTATTTATTTATTTGATCTTTTCATCAATTTCTTCATGTTTGCGTTTAAGACCTTTGACTGTTTTTACTGCGACGCTATCTAACAACCATGTTGGTCCGTATTGCGCTACCAACATACCTGCATAATGCGGCCACCAAGGTGTGATGACACCTTTTGGTCTTGTCCAATAAGATGATGGAGGTGGAGTTTGATGTTTAGGTGAAGAAGAAGGTTGAAAAGCCGGAGGAGCAAGCCAGCCATAAGGCAAGATTGTCCCAAGTGAGCCACCCGGACGAAGCGAATGCATGGCCGAACGAACCCAATCGAAAGAGGTAGGTACCATAAGTGAAACTGGTTCAGCACACATTCCTGATTGAACTTGGCCAGGAACCATGCAAACTACATCAACTTGTTCACCTTCACAAATCATTTCTGAACGTAAAGAATGCGAGAATGCAACATCGAAACCTTTTGTGCCCATGTATGGTGAAAGATAAGGTGTTGGAGTCCAAGCACCGATACTCGTAACGGTTACAAGTAAACTTGGTTGATTTTGTTTGAGGGAAGTCATACATTTTCTTGTTACTTCTGCTGGAAATAAAGAATTTGCAATCACGATCCCGGCCATTTCTTCTTTTGTGAGATCTTCCAAACGTGGATAACCTTCACTTTGAACGCCCAGGTTGTTAATCACTACTGTTAATCGGACATCTTTTTTGGATAGAATCGCATCTAGACCTTCTTGAAGTGCTTCGTTGGGATAAGGTGTTGCTTCACAGACCAAGATTTCCACTTGCACATGAGCGGGAACGGGTAGAAACGTAGGAGAATTGGTATTCGTTGATGATGAAGCACTTAGCTGACTGTTTGACTTTCTTCTTTTTACACTTCCTTTTCGGCTTGAAGAAGGTGTTCGTTTAACCTCATCCGTTTCTTCTCGTTTTGTAGTTGAGCTCTTTCTTCTTTTGGGTGTATCTTTATATATTTGACGTGAAACAATCGTCTCTCGTACAACTTCGAGCTTCTTTCTATTTCTTCCCTGAATGATCACATTGAAGCCATGATGGGCTAATTGATATGCCCATTCTTCTCCCATTCCTCCCGTTGCTCCTGTGATTAATGCATAAGGCGCTCTACCTTTTCCGCCATGCAAATATCTTCGAAGCGGATTACCTTCCGCGCTTGGAAGGTTGACAAGTTGTGGCATTTTGATGAAAGGGAATACACTCGTGGTGATAAAGAAAGATTATCATATTCATCTTCTCAAATCAATACTTCAAGGTGACATGACTTTTTATTGTATGCATGCATACAACATTCGATTCTATACCAAACAATAACACACTGGGAATGTGCCTGCCAGTACTCTACAAACGCTAAGATGGAAAGGGGTGCTTATATAAGCGCATTCATTGGAAGATTGTTGTGCAGCCGCTTTCACAGCCTAACAACTTTACAAGCTTCCCTTCATCTGTTCAGGAGAGAGCGAAATGAGAGCTGTACTACAGAGGGTCACAGGTGCAACTGTACATGGTGAGATGCCTATGGTGAAGACTAGCAATAACTCAGACTGACGGTAAGCCTTTCATTCGACAGTGGATGGGAAGTTGATCTCACGCATAGGGCCGGGAATCGTTGCTCTAATCGGAATTGGAGTTGAGGATACAGCTGAAGAGATTACACCTATAAGTCAAAAGATCTTGACGACAAAGTTATGGAATGAAGGCCAAAAAGCATCTCAAATTGTCGTACCGCCTCAATATTCAACTGATCAAACTACCAACCCAACAACGGACACACCAACAAAACCGGCAGCTGAAGCAAATGATGACATACAAAAGGCGAGATCCGAACAGGTTTGGGGAGGCAAACCGTGGAAGCAAAATGTGATGGATTTAGAGGGAGAAGTGATGTGTATTTCACAATTCACTTTGCATGCCAGATTATCCAAAGGCACTAAGCCGGATTTCCACAAAAGTATGGGTGGAGAACAGGCAAAGATATTGTATGAACAGCTACTAGAACGACTAGGGAAGACTTATAGACCGGATCGCATTAAAGGTATGTTTTCCGTCACAATCCCGTAGCTTTCCCCGTTGCTGACGTCAATCTCACTTTTGTGTGGAAAAAGATGGAGCTTTTGGAGAAATGATGCAATGTTCATTGACCAATGACGGTGAGTGGAGAAAAGATAGTCGATTCCAATTAGCTTTAAACTGATTCGATAGCTTCCTTTCACTTTAGGTCCAGTCACGATACGTGAGTTTTCGGAAATTTGTACCCCACAGACTGACTGACTTTCACGCTAACTGGTTCTCCTTCTTCCGATGATAGTCATTGATACTGCTGATAATAAAAAGTGAACCCACTTTAAGACGATCACATGACGTCAAATTGAAAGTGGGTCAAAACGTTTTATTGAATTCTAATTTGTCATGTTCCTGCAGATGAAAGATTAGAAAGAAGTCATTTTCGGATTGATTGCCTTTTTCACATGCCGCCACCAAAAAGACTGTTTGTTGCCCTCTCACTTTGTCTTACGTACGCCAAAAGTTTGCAACCTTTGACACAAAGTCGGAAATCGGAAATCTACAAAGGCGTCCGTGCCGTGTCTGTCCAATTGAAGTGTGGAGAGAAAGATTTGGGCTAAAACATACAAACCCGACCCTGCCCGTTTGTCCGCTTTACGCGCTTGTGTACGTGCGTGCGTGCGTGCGTTTGTACGTGTCACCGACGGCGTTTGTTTGGCTTTGCGTTGCCCCAAACTTTGTTGGGGGAAGGGATTAAGAATTTTTATTCTGACTTTTAGCGCCTAAGCAGCGCAGATTTGAAGGGGCAACGCACTAAACCAGTGTTTGTGTTTCAATCAAACTCAGAAGTTTCCCAAATTTCTTGTTTGCCACACTTTTCTTGTAATTCATCAATTAAAGACAAAATAGACTTTTGAATTGATTGATTGATTCGAGTGTGTTTGAAAAGTGAAAAAGAATCAAATGACTAACACTTACTTAGATCTGGGCCTTTCCTGGGGCTACCGGCCTACGATTGAGCGGCTCCCCGATTGATTTGAGTGGCCAAAATTAAGTTGTGCATGTACATACATTCATACATACGCTCGACAAGCAAAACACATATATATATACCATTGACACTTGACATTTTCTTACTCGACACCCACCACCTCATCATACCAATAGTCGTTCAGGTCAGCGACAGACTCACATACCCAACCATATTTCTACAGCAACTTTCTTTTGCAGTAGATAATTTCAACACTCAATCGCAGGTCACAGCGATCGTCATCCGCTTCTGCGAGACATTCACTACAACTCAAACCTAACGACTTCTCTTGACTCACAATGGCCTCTCCTCATATCGAATTGCCAAGTGGCGAGCAAACTTTGCTCAACCGCAAGCAACCAGCTCCTGGCCTTCGTACACCTCCAGCCGATCAACTTTCTCCTCCTCAATCTGAAGATGAATCGACAGGTGCACCAACAGTGCCACAACCAAAAAAGAAGTCTGCATTCGCAGATGGTGATATCCCAGATGACTACGTTACAAGAACTTTGGAACGTGAACCCGCTCTTCCTCCAGTTGAATGGAAGAACATCTTGAACGAAATTCAATGGGTCAGTTTCATCGTGTTGACAAGTACGCCTCTTTTGGCCGTCTATGGATTGTTCACTACCCATCTTTCATGGAAGACATTCGCGTGGTCAATCGCATACTACTTCTTCTCTGGCTTGGGTATCACTGCCGGTTACCATCGTTTGTGGGCACATCGTTCATACAACGCAAGTAAACCATTGGAATACGCTCTCGCAATCATGGGTACAAGTGCCGTTCAAGGATCCATCCATTGGTGGGCTCGCGGTCACCGTGCTCATCACCGTTACACTGATACCGATTTGGACCCATACGGTGCTCACAACGGTCTCTTGTGGTCTCACTTGGGATGGATGATTGTCAAACCACGCCGTAAGCCCGGTGTTGCAGACATTTCCGATTTGCGCAAGAACTCAGTCATCAAATTCCAACACAAGTTCTACATTCCACTCATCTTGATCACAGGTTTCGTTTTCCCAACCATTGTTGCAGGTTTGGGTTGGGGAGACTGGCGCGGTGGTTTCTTCTATGCAGCCATTTGCCGTTTGGTCTTCGTTCACCATTCCACTTTCTGTGTCAATTCTTTGGCCCATTGGTTAGGTGAAGCATCATTCGACAACAAGATGACACCTCGTGATCACTTCATCACTGCTTTGGTTACCGTTGGTGAAGGTTACCACAACTTCCACCATCAATTCCCAATGGATTACCGTAACGCAGTCAAATGGTTCCAATATGACCCAACAAAATGGTTCATCATTGCCATGAAGTCAGTCGGTTTGGCATCTAACTTGAAGAAGTTCCCTGACAACGAAGTACAAAAGGGACGAGTGGCAATGCAATTGCAAAAGTTGAACGAACAACAATCTGAACTCTCATGGCCAAAGAACTACAACGACCTTCCAGTTATCTCATGGGATGACTTCCAAGAAGAGTCCAAGAACCGTCCTTTGATTGCCATTTCCGGTTTCATCCACGATGTTTCCACTTTCATGGATGAACATCCAGGTGGTCGTCATTTGTTGGCCGGAAAGATTGGTAAGGATGCCACTGTTGCATTCAACGGAGGATTGTACAACCACTCCAACGCTGCACACAACTTGCTCAGTATGATGCGTGTCGGTGTCATTGACGGTGGATATCAATTGGCCGTTGATGATATCAAACGTACAGAAAGAGCACGTGCAGCAGCAGCAGCCATCACAGAAGAGTCAAAGGATGACAAGAATACACCACCCAAATTTGAATGGTCAACACCATTGCCAGGTGAAGATGAACGACAAATTGATGCAAAGGCACGTTCATACGTTCCACCCGGACAAGTGTACACCATCTTGAAACGTGGTGAATTAAAGGCAAACACTGTCGCACAAAAGTCTGGTGGCCGTGTGGGCAAATTCCTATAGATTCCTCAATCTTTTCTCGTTTTTCATTGTCACCCAAGCATCAATCATCATAAAAGGGCTCTCTTAATATAATTACTATCGTACTGTCTTTCTGTATTCTTCAACCCCAATCAAATATTCATAGACGATCATTCTGTTAATAATCATCTGCCTGGTAACCTATTCCGCTTGTGTATGTGTGTGTGTTTCAGTAAGATCATTAGCATCCTTAATTATGCCCTTTTAGTAAGCTCTCGCCATCAAGTCGCTTCTTTCTAAACGTTGCCGGAAAAGAGAGAGACTCCAAGGTCTCCTTCTAGCAAGCGATTCACCTACACAAGAACCTGGCATAATCTAATCCGAATCCAGGTACATCTAATATTATCTTCTCCGCATTTATCATTATTAGGGCCTTTGTAGTGCATGATAGTGAGCTTGTATATGCCGAAGTCCCCCTTATGTCTCGCTTAAGAGAAGCTACAGCATGGATGGCCGGCCAATCAATGCAGCCAGTTAAAAGCGGTGAACAGATCACATTAGACAGACAACACAGCCAGGGACACACGCTGGTTGAAACAAAGTAAGGGGTCAATTGTGGGCTTTCTGCACGTGAATTGTGGATGCATTGATTGTCAAATGGGTCAGGTCCGATCTTCTAGCCGTATAAGCTACAAAACTTGATTGATTGATCGATCAGCGGTCCCACTAGCGCGAAATGATTTAATCATTGAATGACGTACACTTTCTTGCACTTATACAACATCCCTAAACACTAGCCGAATGCGTGTGCGGACAATGAATCAGGCGCTTGAGCTGTGTACGTGTGAAATGCAACGCGTTCAACTAACGGTTTTCTTAGAAAATTGATGAGAAAAACTCTCCGATACTGACAAAGTGCTTCTCCGGCATACAAAACACGATCTTTTGTTTGTTTTAAGTAGACTATATGCCGTGCTGCTCTTATGCACAACTTCATGCAAGTTCATCTATTGTCCTGCACTGTATAACAGCCCCACACGAACAACAAAGCAGGTGCCCTAGTGCCGATCTGTGAATTACCCCAATTTCCTTTCTCATCACCCGGATCGTTCATCAGCCGCTGTAAGAGCAATTAATTGCTTAGCTTCAAAGAGCTTTTGACATCGGACCATAAATGAACCCAAAGTGTGAAAAAAGGCAATAATGAAGGTGAACCACATTAGGACTCAAAGGGGCTTTTGGAAAAGCTCCGCTCTTAAACGCGTCTTAGAATTATTGACGCTCAGCGCTTTAAACCACAAGCGGGCGGAGCCTGAATGAAAAAAAGTACGGCATAAGAACAGAGCAATTGAATGTTGAAATGAATCCTGCTGCCTAATTGGTTTAGTCTTTGTTTGAGAAATAGGCTAATTTGACTCAGATGATTAAAAAAAATTATCATGCAAACGCACATAAGCACTTATCCCCTTACCGTTTTTGATCTTTAAATCGTTCGATTATCCCATTATTCCAGTCTCCATGCGTTTTTTTGTATCAAACTTTGACCCGCATAAAGGCCGTATCAATGTTTGTTTGCACATTATGCCTTGTAGAAGAAGAAAAAGTTTTAGTCTGCCAAGGTTAGGAACTAGCCCTGTTCCCCACCCGATTCAGTAGTGAAAAAGAGTGAGGGCCCCACTTCAATTCGCTTGCGCGCGCATTAAGAGAGCAAAAACACACACACACTCAATTGACATTACGTCGCAGAGCCGCTTCTTCATTCAGCCCTGCCTTGCCTTTTATTTTTCTGACATCCGAAAATTCATTTGGCCGCGCTTGCTCGCAGACCCGCAGAACCCTCTCTAATACATACACTACACTATACCTATTCAACCCCTCATTTTCCCACTTCTCTCCAGAGTTTGATTTTACATTCAATGTATCTGTCATAATCATTTCCTCCTTTACATCCACCTTCGACCTCATCCTCAATCTCTTTTCGACACCTTTCATCCGACCTTTCCCCACCATCAATCCCACCCCTCTACCCCTATTCGCCTCTCCGATTCTCTCTCTCTCTATATCGATCAATCGACTTTTTGGTGGCCAATAGTCGATCTCAAATTCAAGCATTCTTACAACAAGATAGATTGCACGGTGTCAAATCATCTTGTGGCCATCCAGACAGAATTCGATCAAATTCTCGTCTAAACCTCCTCCTCCTCCAATAACAATCCATCATGGGTCTACCTCCTCGTCATTCTCGCACAGTTCCCGCCCCACCAAGAACGGGCGGTGCACCTGCAATCAATCCAAACTTGATCTTGGCCATTCGATTCTTGCTTTCGTTACTCATTTGTGCTTTGGCCATCATTGCAGCAGTCATTTCAATCTTGGTTGTTCAATATTACAACTCTCATCATATCATCGCTCCATCATGGGGATCGCTAATCTTTATTATTGTTTTGGGTTTGGCAACACCTTGTTTGTACTTTGGATACAATATCCTATTACCTATCGCACCTTTCATCAACTATGGTGATTTCCTTTACGGTATCATGATGGTCAAGATTGAATTGCTCTTCCAATTTTCAATGGCCGTGCTATGGGTATCCGGTGCTTTGGCCTATGCAAGCGATCTTCGTGGATATGAAAACTGTCAATTTGACGGATATTTCCATCAAGCAAAGCCTGCCAACTTCGAACATGTTTGCGATTTGATCAATTACGTTGTCCCATTCAATTATGCAGCTTTCGGTGTTCAAACATTATTGTTCGTTTTTGAATTGATGTTTGGATTATACACTTTCCTTTACCTTGATCAAGAATCTCTCAGTGAACCACACTTTGCGTGGGGTCGTCGTGCATACGATTACAGAACAGGAGCAAGTCAAACGGGCGGAGCAGGACGCAAAAATGTATACCGCGCCCGTGCCATCAATGCAGACGAAGGAGAACAAAGTGAAGTTATGGAAGCAGGTGCAGGAAGACGTGGAGCTGCATACAATGATCCAGAAAGAGGATCAGAAGAGATGAACGAAGTTGATAACGACGGACCAGCAACACTTGGTTCGCGTGGAAGGGGAAGACGTGGATATATCGAAGATGACGAAGAAGATCCACATTCAGCCGCTGATGGTATTGATGAAGATGAACAATCTGGATGGCATTTGCGCGATGAACATCGTGGAGATGCACATGCCTAGATATGATGCTCTACCTTCTTGAAAACTGGATATTCTCTTTGTCAATCTTGCCTTCCACCGATTCCCCTTTAAATGAAACTGCTTTCTCTCGTTGCGATCAAAAAAATGGATTGGTCTCGTGCCATTCCTCCCGCTTCGTATACCGATGCTCTGCTATGCAATCACTCATCGACACAATCGATCTTACTATTATTATTCCAACCAATCATTCGTTTCGCTTAATCAACAATTCGCTTATCTCGGTCTTCAAGGAAAAAGCTGAAGTGGTTGTCGCATGTATTTCTTTATTCGTTTACAAATGCGCCCGCGAGCTCTTTTGGACAACAACAAACTTTCGCTTTCTCATCTTTTGCTATTGCTTATTTTTTTTGGTCAACTACTTTCGATTCAAAACTTGTACTTTTTTACCACCTTTTTTTCGCTTCACATCTACGCTTGTCATTCTTTTGGCAAATCTGCTCTGTTTTTTCACGGTATACCCTGTGAAAAAACATCAATGCATGCACGACATTTTATCTTACGTCCTCTTTTCTCATCACCTGTTTCAACAGTGATTTGCAGTTTCCACCCTCCCCCTATTTCTCCTCCTCTTTCACTTAATATCAATTGGCAATGATATCCAATTCAAAGCAGAAATTAAACATGTGTGAAAAACAATTTAGAGATTAGACACGAATACAGTTGGGTTCTTGCCCGATAAGTTTAGGTGGGACTTTTGTCGACATATACAGTTGCTTATAGAATTGAGCGTACGAGCTTGCACCTGCAGTCACAGACTGAAGGGATACAAGTGATACATGACATAATCAAAGGAGATTAAAATGAAAGATGAGATTAAGTAGAAATCGTTGTTATGTCAGTAGAATCATCTTGCCCTGGCAACACATCCTACTTTGCATACTTTTGTTCAATTTCAGACAAGAGTTTGAAAGCGTTTGTAGCATCCAAACTCATCGAATAAGGACCATCACCAAGTGTAAGATAAATGATTTCAACCGAACGATGATGAGCTTCGTACAATTCTTGCGCAGTACAAACAGATAAATCCATCTTTGTACTCATTTTACATTGTTGATGTTGAAAACCATAAATTGCTCTTTTGAATGCAACTCCTTTTCCGAACAAAAATTGTTGTACTTCTTTATGCCATTCACGATAATTTTCTTTTCCACGTAGGATTGGAAGTGTTTGTCCGTCAATGGTGATTGTTTCTGCCATCTTTTGCTACTTTTTGATTCTTGCTAGAAGATCAACTTTTAGCATGATAGGCGGAACGTTCGATTTTTGGTATAATGTTGTATCAATTTATAGCCTCTTTTCCCCCATTCTTATTATACCATATAAAGCAGTCTTGTGGACAAATAATGGGAGTAAAAGCCAAGAGTTCAATTCGCGGCTGAATATTTTATGTGGAATAGCATTTATCCACAATCCGATTTGTATGCATTCTTAATCCGATGAAATCAGGAAGGAAACAGAATTCATTAGATGATGAAATGTAGTCGTTGCGATCAAAAAAGCTTATTTCTTTATCGTTTCTTTCGTATAGAGCAGGAGGGATGATTCTTGGATTCAAATCATATAGTAATTCGATCTGCTTTTAATTTGGATCACCACAGCAAAATCATCTGATCCACTACAAAAGACGAGCAAACGATTCAGCCTCGGAGCAATGATGAAACACAGCACAGTGCTTGAAAAACCATGCTGAGCCGCGAAAGATGATAACCAGTATAATACGCAGCCATATCCACCACATATCCGTGGGACAATAGGCGGTGTAATGTGGAACGTGCAAAAGAAGTTCAATCATATTCAATACACAATTCATTTCATATTCCGATCGCAAAGTCTTAACAAATTTGATTGTTCATTCTTTTCTGCCACATATTACCACAAAAATTGATACGCAATAATTCAGTTTTGTCAAGACGCACTGTGGTTTTGTCCATGGATATTCCACTTCGTCACCCCACAATATCGTTTATTGGTAAACGAAACAAAAGCAGTCCACATTACACAGCCATGGACTTCTACAAGTTCGGATCCAATCAACAGAGCCAATCACAGGATCCGTAATCAGTGGCGCTGATGCTGCCTTCTCACTCCAGCCTCTTCTCACTCCAGCCTCTTCTCACTCCAGCCTCTTCTCACTCCAGCCTCTTCTCACTCCAGCCTCTTCTCACTCCACTTTCTGCCCGTCCTCCCCACCTTCTGCCCTTCCTCCCCACCTTCTGCCCTTCCTCCCCACCTTCTGCCCTTCCTCCTCACTTTCTGCCCTTCCTCCTCAC